AAAAATTTACTTATTACCGGTTCGGTCAACAATGTAATGATATGTATTTTATTTACAATCATACATGTAATGTTGACTTTACTGACTTTTAAAAAGTTTGAAAATGTCACTTTTTTGACTTTTACTTTCGGCCCACGGTAGTATACATACCTCGGTGAAAAGTTTCATTACTGTCTCGGTGTCTCGAGATTTTAGTTACACCTCGGCTGCGCCTCGGTCTAACTAAAATCTCTCGACAGTAATGAAACACTTTCCACCTCGGTATGTAATATACTATTTTTTTTCCAAAGGAATTTCTTTTTATCCGTATCACAGGTCATACAATTTTTAATTACTCATTTTAATCTCAACCTTCGTCTTCCCGAGTTGGATACAAATGTACCCGAGAAAATAATTTCTCTAGCATATTTTCCCAAAAAGTGCATATTTTTTGTGACTAATTTTATTTTGTGTCAAAAAGGGATTTGCACACAATTAGTGATTATCAAAAATTTTCTATTTATTTATTTTTTGGAAATAATAATTTTTGCATAGCCGTGGGGCGCATGTAACCCACGTGGGAATCTGTGGTTATTCTATCAAGTAGTTACCTTGCAGGAAATTTGCAGGTTGGAAATAAGATTTCCAATCTGCAAAATTTAGAAATCACAATAATAAAAATGGTCAAGAAATATCTGTGGAGCAGGAAGAGAACGAAAGTTTACGGGAAGTAGAAGGCGGAATCTGATTTATAAATCGAAAGATGGATGTAATGGTCGAAAATACCATTTACTATTTTTTTTGCTACCTGTACTCTTGTTATAGGTTGATTTTATCTATTATAACTGTTTAGTATAAATACAAACATGTTTAATTATCATATATAATATCACAAGAGAAAAAATTTTGTCGGCCAAATTTTCGAAAGGTATGAAAATTTTTTGCTTGGCAATTTCGCGAATGACATTTTTGACAAAATTTTATCAAAAATGTCATGAGCGAAATTGCCGAAAAGCAACAAACTTGAATAAAGCCTTGAGAACAAATTTGCCTACACAATTTTTTCTCGAGTAGTATTCGTCATGACTATTCCACGTAAGATTTTGTAAATAAATAGAATGCAAAAATATGAATAAAAACTTCAAATTAAAAATATCAATTTGACAATGTCAAAAAATGGTCGCTGAAATACCATGTTGTTGGTATTGTCCAGGTAGCAATATTGTCAGGTGAATTCCGAATTTATTGTCGAATGTAATACCACAAGAGGTTTCGGAATTACCGGATAATACTTTTACCCGTCACGAAACGCGTTACGCAGCAACACCACGACTCCGAAGGAGGAGTGGTGTTGCTGGTAACGCGCTGAGTGTCAGGTAAAAGTATTAGGTAATCCTGAAACATCGAGTGGTATTCAATAGGTTATACAACGAACTAAACTTTAATATTTTGAAATTTGAAAAACATTCTATAATAGAATTTACCATAAATGCCACCAAGCGCGATAATCCCAAAAGGCTTATCACTTATTAAGCCTCTCGTGTCATATGGTAATAATGTACAGTGAGTTGTATAACCGGTGTAATACACTCTAGTGAAAAAGTCAGAAGTATCATTTTTATCATGGGGTGCGCATGTACCCCACGTGGGAATCTACGTAATTTTTTTTTGTCTGAAAGACGAAGGTTAATGATGTAAAAAAAAAATTAATACTTAATTTAAAAGCGATTTGGCCAATTCTGTTTATCTTGAATTGATGTTATGGGATGATATTTAGATTATATTCATCAAACATTAAATGATGATCATATAAATATATTGTCTAATGTCGAAATCTGAGAACTTGAGGTGCACTAAATCTAAATTAAAGTTGAAATTATTTATAAATAAATAAAATAAAGAGCTTTTGCCTTCTGAAATCAAAAACTTTCCGCTACGCATAATATTTCTTATACCACACCTAATGTTGCATATATGTAAAGGAAAGTGCAATTAAGAAAAACGCATAAAAAATTTACGAAGAATTTATGAATTATTATAAATCAAGGAAATTACTTGATAATTTGTATACAATATAATATATCAAATGGTCTTTATTTTAATTTAAAAATAATTGCAATGTGCGCAATTTTCATAACACATCATTATATGTCTTTGAAACGAGCAAAATACTTTTATATGTCTTGTCTTAACAACATTATTACGTTAATATCGTTTTTTATTATGCGTGGATAATATTAGTTTATAATAAATAATAAGTAAAGTGGCATATTCGATTGTTTATGTGCAATTATAAGATAAGCATTTTAAAAATTCAGGTTAACAGTTAGCGGATAAATTTATTTTATTGTGAAATATTTCTTATTAATGAATTAACCGGATTCTGCTATAGCAATGATAAAGAATATAATATAATTGTTTATAACAGTGAAAAAATAGATAGTTATTTATGTTCCAAAACCAAAATTTACAAGGATTTTAAATTTCACGAACACATAAAAATTCTTAGCAGAAAAAAGTCTTCTATAAGCTGCTATGCGCTGAGTAGGCATAATTTCAGACAATCTAGCTTTTGCTAGCGCAGAACACTTAAGTATTTTTCACTTATTCAGTTGTACCTGTCTAAACTGGATAGACAGGTAAAGAATAGTCAGAATGATGAACTAGGTTTTAGAAGAAAACATGCTTGTATTCATACATACATTCAACATTTGAAATACACTTGCACGGGGATAGCAAGTCTCTCTGGACTTGGTTTTCATATTTCCTCTACAGAGGACTACAAACCCTGGAAATTTTAGCTCATCTAGATTTATAGTCCCAGAGGTAAAATGCCGCTAAGGACTGAGAAGGAAATTTTTGGGTTTTTCAATTTTCCGCCATTCGGCATCAAATCTCACAATGGTTCACAGAAATGTCCAGTAGGTAATTCTTATCCTAGTTGAGATTACCAAGAATGAACTTTTCATATTGCTTGACCTCACTTCCATAGGTACGAACTTAGAGGCCATTGCAATCGCTCATTACTATCAGGCCAGCATTTGCTCTTACTGCCCTAGATCTGTAAATGATGTTCAAAAAGCTAATAAGGTACCAAATTTTTCTGCCAATAAATTTCAAATTTTCACAAATTTTATGTTAGGAAGCTATCTTTTCTTATTATATAATTCAATTTTTATTGTTAAGTCATTATCATATAGCAAATTTAACGGTTTTGTTTGCAGATCGTGTATACTGTTTGCTAAAAGTGGGTTAGTTCATATCATTTTATTTCTGTTTTATGTGCCATTATTCGAAATAGCTCTAGACTTTTACTTTTAATAAAGATATTTATATGTTTATATCGTTGTTGTGTTTGCTTCCGGTATAGAAGATTTGATGTTGCACAAGAGAAAAAAATATTCTTACACAAAATTTATTTTCTCTTTGAGTGAGTTTTCAATTTTCAAATCAATAAGAAGGTACATATAAAACAATTCAAAACTGAAGTTATTACTAAATCGAAATTCGAAATTCTTCTATGAAAGTAGTTTATTTATTCAAATTTATTTCATTTATATGTACCAAAAACAATTAGGTTATTTAAATTAATACAATTTACTTAATACATGAAATAACACTTAATAATAATTTGAAATATCTGTAATAATTAATAAATATCAATTAGCCTTAAACTAAATAGACACCAGTATTAAACGGCTTATAGCAATACCAGACGGTACAATAAAAGTACATACACCAGACGCATAAGCGATTTCCAATTCAAAATAAGCTAATTTCACAAAATAAACAACTGCTCCCATAATAATCAGAAGTCGTTTGACTACTTGAAATAACTTCGAGGCATTGACCAAAGTTATACAATTATTATTATCAAGGCTTGGTCAAATTATATCTAAAATGATGTCAGTATTTTTTTCAAATCTCATGAAGCTAAGATTGTTAAGAAAGTTGTTGGATCGAAACTAAATTGTCACCAGTTATCCAAGTTTAATATGCAGATTTTAATTGGCAGTCATTATTTAAATCATGTTTTTCGTTTTTCCTAAAGCTAAAAACACCATTACATAATAATTCTACTAATTATTGCTGGAAACTCAGCCTTCAATGTCAATAATTATAAGTATTGTATTGTTGACACAATCGTGGTAGATTTAAAGTAATTATGAATCTAGCTGAAGACAATTGAATCGTACCTAATTATTTAGAGCATCGTGACCAACTTACCGGCAAAATGTATGTTGTTATAAATATTACGCCAACCCAATCGTAATTATTCTATTATGATTATGCCGTAATATGATGTAGAAAAATTAATTAGATGTTTTATATAATGGTTGATTAAAAAAAAAAAAGGTAATAACCTACGAATTTAACGTATATCGGTGTAATGATTGCGTATATTTTCTAACTATGATGTCAAGATCTTCAGGTGGGTAGTAGTAGTTAGTTCATAATTGAAATAAATTTATAAGTACCTGTTTTGAGTTTTTCTCTGTTGCAACTAATGTGCCATCCCCAGATGTTTTTGGTTGGATAGAGAGAAAAACACCCCTGTACATATTTCATTCTGTATTCTTATGGATTCTGATTTTTAGCATCAGCACAGCTGGGAGAGTTCGAATAGTGATTTGATGATACATTCTGATATTCTTGTTTTGCCCAGTGAATTTTTTCCTCATAGTTTTACGAACTTCCTCTAGAATTGTTTTCGTAAATGCTTCAAGCGTTTTTTCAAATTTTCTTGATAGCTTTGACATCACACACATATGCCTGATTGAGCTTTTGAATAATAATAATCAGCAATCCTCTTATCCTGGACACTTTTGTATTTTTTTTTCTTATTTTACTTAAAAAGTACCTTTCACAATATAAGCCAAAAACGTAGCACATAATGCCCGATCCCATCAAAAAATATCCTAAAAAGTAACAGTTGATGTTCTCCTTTTTTTCAACTCTGTATGTATTGTATATTAACACATTATAGGGTCACACATAACCAATTAGAGGATGTGTATGACCGGGCATTTCCTTATCTAATCGAATTACTTTAATAATTTGCTGCTTAGTGATGGATATTTTTAGATTAGTAGGGACCTTCGCCCGAACGACTGCAGCAAAATCGAATTGGTGAGCAAACAGAGCTTTTTATGTCCAAGATGAAACATGAAATTTATTAGAATCAATTTATTTTAATTTTAATTAATTAAGGAATTAACTTTGTGTGCATTCAAGGCACACATTTGACGTCAGACTAGGTGCAACAATGGCATCAACGAAACCAAAATATAGACTCACATATTTTACCTTCACTGGATTGGCAGAACCTACCAGGCTCCTTTTTGCCTATGGAGGTATCGAATATGAAGATGTTCGAATTTCCCAAGCTGATTGGCCTAAATTTAAAAAAAGTAAGCAGAGATTTATAATTTTTCTTTAATGCCTTTATTAACTTACCTACCTAGGTACTTTATTTATTTGATAGTTTCATTAGACTAAGTTAGGAAGCAAAGTAGTTTTAACCATTTGATAAAAGGCTGAGTATTCAATAAAATAGATTTGAAAATATTTCCAGTAAATAGACAAAAAATGTCCATCTGAGGGCTTTGAGGTAGGTCGATAGGTAGGTACGTTAAATCCAAATTCCAAATTAGACTTTCTAATTCAAATTTCCGCTCTAGTAAAGCTACAAATGATTTTCTCACAAATTTTCCATTGACTCTTAGCTTCAATGATCAAATAGGTCAAATATAAGCTTTTTAAACCACTCTAGCCCAAGTTTAACTATTGAATGTTTGAAAATCAAGGTTTTACTACCACTCTAGTTAAATTTGTATGCCATTCTATAGTTTAAATTTCAGTGTTGTTAATAGAGTTAGAAACCTGATTATCACAATTTTCCAATTGACTTTTAGCTCTGCCAGGGTCAAACATGAGCTTTTTGAACCGCTCTAGCTCAAGGTTAGCAGTTGAATGTTCGCAGTAATCAAGGTTTTACACTACTCTAGTTCAATTTTTGGCATAAGGAGTGACGGAAATAGAATTTGTATGCTATTCTAGTTCAAATTTAAGTGCCAATAGAATTGAAAACCTGATTCGCATGATTTTCGAATTGAATTTTAGCTCTGCCAGGGTCAAATATGAGCTTTTTGAACCGCTGTAGCTCAAGTTTGACAATTGAATGTTCAGAAATCAAGGTTTTTCACTCATGTTGTTCAATTTTTGACATTAAGAGCATCGGTTCCATTTAATAGTGACCGAGTTCGTTTTTGTCATCTTTTTCGTCGATTTGCTCCGAAATTTTGACAGCCACGTGATTTGTAAACTGAAACTCTCTTATAGAGTCATATGCCTGTCAAAATTTTGGAGCAAATCGACGAAAAAGATGACAAAAACGAACTTGGCCAGTGTAAGCAATAAGTAAATGCAGGACATCAGATGTGAAGTAGGAAGTAAAAGATTTGTAGAGATTGATGTATAAACTTAGAACGTGTCTACAATAAGAAATATTATATTATTCTGACAAGTACAACTACAAAACTCCAATGTCGTAAATAATAAATCATATATCAAAATGTACAGGGAGACTTCTTAGCTGATGTATTAGTAAAAAATTCTTTCTTCAACACTCCCTCTTAATACAACAGTCTTCTGAAGTTCACATCATTTTGATAAACTCATAGCATAGCTTCAACGCAAAACTCAAACTTCTGTCTAGATAATGGCTAAGTACAAATGTCAGCCGTCATCTTGTTTGTTAGAAGATATGCTAACTGAACTTCACCATTTTCAACCTTTTCTCTTATGAAGCGAAACCTCACATCAATGTGTTTTGTTCTTCTATTCAGAACAGGATTACTTGCAATTTTTTGAGCACTTTGATTGTCATTGTAAACTTTCACAGGTTTTGAAAAATTTACAAGTTCTGATAACAATCCTTTTAAATGTATTGCTTATTTTTCGGAATCACTGATTGCCATATATTCAGCTTCACACGAAGACATGGCGACTGTAGTCTGCTTACGACATTCCCAAAAAACATCAGCCTATTTGAAACAAAAACCAGTGTATGACTGTCGATTTGTCCGCTGTCGCATCACTAGCCCAATCTGCATCGGCATATCCAGTCAATTCTTCTTTAGATTTCCAATAAACTAATGCTCTGTCTGCTGTTCTTTTGAGATATCTTCATACACGCTTCGTAGCTTGCCAGTGTTCTTGACCATACTTAGTATTGGACTGGCTCAAATATAGGAGCATGCATAAGCAATGTCCAATGTCATGTCTAGAAGTGAAACTCAAATACATTAGACATCCAATTAGTTGCTGATATTGCACATTCAGGCTCTTTACCGCTCACTAATGGCAGTTTCATATTTGAATCGATTGGTGTACTGATTAGTTTACAATCCAACATTCCAACCTTCCTTAGTACATCCATGACATACTTTCTCTGACTGATAGAAATACTACCATTTCGATTTTCCTGTACTTTCATGCCCAAACAGGTATGTATACCTAACTCCAAGACCTTTGATTTTAAAGTGACGTGATAGTTGCCTCTTTAATTTCTCAACTTCATTTTCATCATTGTGATAAATAAAAAAGTCGTCCACGTACAGTGCAATGATAGCTATGGAGTTCTTTTTCTCCATAGTGTACATGCAACTTTCGTGTGCTAACTGCTTGTAATTAAGTTGTTCTGAAACCTTCTCAACTTTCTTATTCCAGGATCTTGAAGCTTGTTCTAGTCTGTATAATGCTTTTCGAAGAAGACACACTTTATTATCCTTCCCCTCAACGATGAAACCTTCTGGTTGATACATGTAGATTTTCTCATCTACCTCTCCATTAAGAAAAGCAGTGACAAAATCCAAATGTTCCATTTCAATGTTAAATTGAACAGCCAATGCAAAAAGCAAACGTATTGATGAATATCTAATCACTGGTGAAAAACTATCAAAGTAATCTATGCCATACTCTTGTGTGAACCCCTTGGCTACTATTCTGGCTTTGTAACATACGTTCTTTCCATCGGTATCTTGTGTTACTTTGTACACCCATTTAGATTTGACAATGTTAACTTCTTTTGGCTTTTCAACTAGAATCCAAGTGCCAGATTCATAAAGTGGATCAATTTCATCTTGCATTGCAACTCTCCACTCTGAAGAAAAATCACTAGAAATTGCTTCGTTGAATGTTTTTGGCTCAGAAAAATCATACAAAGTTTGATGATCCGGAAATTCTTTCTGTTTTCTATCTCGAATTGGATATCTGCATTCTAATTCTTGATCTAGTTGTTTTCCTTGAACTGGAAGGTTTTGTTGTTGAGATGTGACCTTATCAAAAAGAACTTCTTCATTTGATATTTATTCTTGATATTCATCAAGAGTCTCACTTGCTTGTTGTTCATCATTCGCATTATCGCGTCCAATCTCAATTTCTTCATTTTCGTTTTGAGAATCGAATAGTGACAAAATTGGCGCAAACACTTTTGTGAGAGGTTTTTCGTTTTCGGCCATCTGATTGCTGAAAAATTGATCTTCTAAAAATACAACATCTCTAGCTCTGCATATTTCATTTGTTTTTGGATTGAAAAGTTTATATCCCATGGCTTCTCCAGAATACCCAACAAATACCATTTTTTGGCTTCTGGGATCCAACTTTCGTCGTTTTTGCTCTGATGAATGAACATACGCTATTGATCCAAAAACTCTTAAATGGCTGAGATTTACTTTTCGTTCGACCACTCCACTTTTCTTCCTTGATCAATTTTGTTGGCAAATATATCGAAGTATTGATAGCTTCAGCCCAAAAACGATTATCACAAGACGATTCTTGCATCATAGATCTCGTCTTATCCAAAATTGTTCGATTCATGCGTTCTACAACTCCATTTTCTTGTGGTATGTAGGGTACTGTTAGCTGGAATTTCATGCCATTTTGCTTTAGAAAATTTTTCAAAATATTGGTTGAGAATTCTTTACCATTGTCAGTTCGGACTCTTTTTATCTTCAAATCACATTCATTTTCTACTTGCTGTTTGAATTCCTTGAAAACTTCTGTAACTTCACTCTTTTGTCTGAGAAAATGGACAAACACTTGTCGCGTAGTCATCTATCAGACAAGATTCTATGGGCATGGGTCGACACAGATTCATGTGTATGAGCTCCAACTTTTCGTGAGTAGAAACCTCTGTTCGTTGCATTTTGAACGGTTTCCGGCTGTATTTTCCTTGAATACTCACAAGGATCGTTAAGATTTTTGTTAGAAAAATCGAATCCTATAGCCATTTTGTAACGAAGAAGTTTCTTACTGATACGGTTTAAATGTCCAAGTCTTCTGTGCCAAAGTACTTTTGACATTTCTGGTGTTAGAAAAATTGGCGTGTTCGATTTTGTTTAGATTGAGGCAATAGACTGCACCAATTCAGCCACTGTATCAGTCACACAGTTTTCAAGTATCAAACATCTTTCTTGATAAAATACCATTATAAAGCCTTTAGAGACCATCTGGCTTACGGATAGCAAATAAGAAGATAGGTCAGGAACATAGGTAACGTTAGAGATAACCTGGACTTGTGATCTATTCTTCAGACTGATAGATACATCTCCAATTCCTTGACTGTATAAAATTTGATTATTTGCAAAAGCCGCTTCTAAGCCAACGTTTCTTTCTTCTTAAAAATTGACCAGCCGCATTCTTTGTTAGAAGTCATATGTGACGAACCACCCGAATCAAAATACCATTTTCATCTATTTAGTTGACAACCTAATACAGTAATGAAAACTCCATTCTTGGTTGACTTGTTCTGCTCATACTTTTTATTTTGGTTAGAAGTCGAAGGTCCACTGACTTTTGTATTTGTACAATTTTGCTTATAGTGTCCCACAGAACGACATTTCCGATACCAAGGCTTTTTGTCTTTTGCATTATTGACTTTTTTTTAGACCACAAAGCTTTATTTGAATTGTGTTTATCATTTTTCCACTTTGTATCTAGTAGTAACTTGAATTTGATCGAATCACTCGTGATCTGTGCACCAGAGTGTTCAATCGCCATCACTAGAGGATCATAGCTTTCTGGCAATCCTTGAAGCATCATAGCTACCAGTAGCTCATCATCAACAGCTTTATTTATGGCGCTAAGTTTTTGCGACACTGTCATAAACTCATTAACGTAATCATCCATTTTAGAAAAAATTTCTAACCTAATACTACATGAGGTTCGAAGTTAATCTGATTCTCCGATTGAGGCCTTTATCCTTGTAAGTTGCTTTCAAATTATCCCAAACATCAACAGCTTTTTCACATTCTCTTATGCGAGGATAACAGCATGGTTGAACCATCAAACAAATCTTTATATCCTACTGAACTATTATAACCATATAATACCTTGGTTACGATAATCATAAACAGGGTCTTAACTCCCAAGGGAGTTAAGGATTTCCATAGCTCCCGCTTTTACCTTGAATGGGTAAAACTTTGTAAACTTTATATAAATAGACAAAATACAGTAAATTCAGTAGGATATAAAATTATCTATGTACCACGGGAATTATCAGGTGTTAATACCCACGGACAAACGTTGCCCTGGGGTATTGACACCCTCATAATTCCCTTGATACATAAATAACTATTGTAGGAGCTTTTTGATCTCTCTTACTTTTTACTGCTTCTGTTGTCGTATCGCCTTCTGGATAGCCATTTATAGAAACCCAAAGATCTTCATGACGAAGTCGCAACTTCATGGCAAGCGACCAATCACAATAATTCTCACTTTCTCTTACCTTATCAAAAGAAGGAGCTGAACTGGAACTTTCTGCATAACTTACAGTACATAATTGAAATTTGCTCGAAAAAATGTCTATAAAATCCAAACTTTTTAAAAAGAACATATTTTCTTGACAATTGGAATCTACTTCAGAGATACATACTATATAAACTGTCGAGAATGGAATCTCAGTGTAAATTTTGTTATCAACAAAATTGAGCCAAGCCAGCGCCATCTACCATATCGGAAAATCACTATTTACTGGTTTTGCATCGATGCTACAGACACCTACTTTACATAGGACTTTTTATGATAGATGGCGCTCTGTTCGCATTACTGTCGGTCTGTTCACATTCGTTTATTCTAGACTTTGGGGATTAATGTTTGCTTAAATTAATTGATAATTTGTTAATTAGATCAAAAGACAGTTTCTTTATCGATGGTTAAGGGTATCCTTAACATATTTATTCAAAGTTCTGATTGATGTTTAATTGAACCTGTCATTTATCTAATCAACAAAGATAAAAATAGATCTTCCAATCTATAAAGTTTGAAATTCTTCTTGAAACACACAAAACAACTTTGAAATCACTTAAGAACACTTTACAACACAAAGAAAGATGAAATGCAAGACCGGCGAACAAAAAACATTATGAATAATTATTAGTTATGATCAAACGAATATTAGGCAATTCAAACCACGTGACTTTCAAGATGGCATGGCGGCCACACATGGGCCAAAGAACAGAAAAAAATATCTAGAATCTGCTCGATTTATTAGTTTAGGTACCTAGTCAACAAATATTTTATTAAATAGTCCAAATCAAAGTTGCAAGCCAAACTCTAAGCAAAATAATTTGAAATACGCATAAAAACACATTCAAAACAAACTTGCTTGGCCGCCACGCCATATTGAATTTCCCTATCTGACAGATGGATTGAATTGCCTAATTTTGGCATATTGTCATATGTTGACTGTCATTTATTTCCAATTTTGATGCTCGTACATTTTATAAACCACGATATAAATCTCATACGATCGATTTGTCTGTTACCGGGTTCCAACCAAAAGTAATTCAACAATATACAAATACATATATGACATATCCCTCCTCAAAAAAAAAATAAGATAAATAAATATATTAATAACCAAATCAAAATACAATTCTACTGTGATAATTTACCCAAAACAAGTTCTTATTTTTTTTTTTTTTAATATAAACAAAACCATTACGTTATTGATTTATTACAATAAATTACATCACATTACAATATTATACCAAAATTTAACTTGTCAAACATTTTTATAATTTTATAGCTTTATTCACTTTCATTGTTCTTGAAAATTAAATCTATCAGGTTCTTTAATCTTTCTACCAAATTTGCTATACAGAGACCTTCTGCCCTTTGGTGTAGTACTTTCATCCTCACTCGATCCATCAAAAGAATTTGACTCACTACTACCGTCCAGTGAGGAGGTCTCTGTACTGCCAATTGAAATTACATCATCAGCTTCATTTTTATTTTTTACACTAGCATGGTCAGAGCTGGAATCATAATAGAAACTGCAACCTTCATAATATGGTTTTAGGAAAATTCTATTTCTTCTTTTGACAGAATTATCAATAGTAATATAACTAGTGCAATGGAAATATATTTCCATTGCACGAGTTGTATTTAATGAGAGAATTTCATAAATCAAAAATTAAAATTTTTTGTCAAAAAATGTCAAAACACCAGTTTTCGCACCAGTTACTATGCAATTATCTGATAATTTGCAGTAGTGCAAATTATCGCGTAATTGCAATCTGATTGGTTCAAATCAACAATCAAAACATGTCAGTTCATTGTTGGAATACCAGTCTTGACAGATGTATGAAATTCGCTTCATAATTTTTTACTATATATGAGAAATCATTGAATTTTTTTAAAATTTCACCTGGCTGCCAAATGTCGCCATTTTTTATGTATACTTTTTGACCAATATTAAAAGGTTGCTGCCTTTTTGTAGATCTATCAAAATACTTTTTTTGAATTTGCTGTCTTTTGTGCAAGTGCTGCTTTTGAATTTCGACATTTATATTCTTAGGTTTTAATGATTGCTTTGAAGCTGGTAAAAATCCCTTTATTTTTCTATTAAACATAAGTTCAAAAGGTGATGGAATTGAATTAGAAATTGGAGTATTTCGATACTCTGATAGAGCCCTTTTAACATCTGTTTTTTCAAATACAAATTTTTTAATTATATTTTTTATGGTTTGTATGCATCGCTCTACCATACCGTTCGACTAGGGATACAATGGACTTGATGTTTTATGTTGAAAGTCCCACATTTTAGAAAATTCGGAAAATTCCCTTACAAAATTTGGTGCATTATCTGAAAAAACAATGACTGGTACACCATGAATAGAAAAAATATCCTTCAAATTCTCTACAATGCAGCGACTTGTTAATGAAAAAAGATTTCTAATTTCTACAAATTTTGAAAAGTAATCAATTAATATGAGATAGTGACATTTTTGAAACTCAAAAATATCAATGCCATGACATTTTTGAAACTCAAAAATATCAATGCCAACCTTATGCCATGGATAATCAGGTATTTCATGCGGATTTTGAGGTAATTTGGGATTATTTTTGGAAAATCTAACGCATGTGTTACAAGATAATACAGTTTGCTCTATGTCTCTGTTCATTCCTGGCCAGTATAAAATTCCATCAGCTCATAATTTACTTTTAGTAATACCCATGTGATTCATATGAATTAATGATAGCATTTTGGCTCTTAAATTCCTTGGAACAATAATAGAGGAGTCTCTAAACAACAAATCATCAAAAACTACAATTTCGTTCCTGATGTTCCAAAAAAGTTTGGAGTCATCAAAACATTTTGATCTAAAATAAGGCCAACCATTCTGAACAATATACTTTACTATTGTCTGCAAAGTTAAATCATTCTTTGTTTCTTGTTCAAAAATGTTTAATTGATTTTGACTTATAGGAAGATTATCTTTTACAAAATTAACTTGTAATTCATAATCACAAAAAATAACTTCATTTGCAGACTTATCATCAAAAACTATTCTAGAGAGAGCATCGGCTATGTACATTTTGAAATCAGATTCCCTTTGGGAGGGTAGGTTCGGATCCTACCGACTGCGCCATGTGAAAATAAAACATCTCATTCAAATCTCAAAAACCAACTGTCATTTATTTCCAATTTTTATGCTCGTACATTTTATAAACCACGATATAAATCTCATACGATCGATTTGTCTGTTACCGGGTTCCAACCAAAAGTAACTAAACAATATACAAATACATACATGACATGTCAGTTATCGACATCGGACGTGTTCTTGATGTGCTGGTATTTTACAATTTTGAGAATTCTGTGGTCGTCAGCGACATCTAGAAAAACGGAAAAGAGTTATTATGTGGTTTTTAACTGGCAATGAGAGATCGCAGATCTACTTCAAAATTCTCTTGGTGCAGTTTCAGGAGTGCGTTCGAAATCACTGGGCGTCACACCGAGTGCACACCAGCCATGAATAATTCATTGCTGGTGTGCATTCGGTATCACGCCCAGGGTGATTTCGAACGCGCCCCAGATGTTGACGAATCTTCTTGAGATTGCATCCGCTGACCTATCTGGGCCCGTAACCTTTGTAAGCAATAAGTAAACGCAGGACAGATGTGAAGTAGGAAGTAAAAGATTTGTAAAGATTCATGCATAAACTTAGAACGTTTTTACAATGAGAAATATTATATTATTCTGACAAGTACAACTACAAAACTAATGTCATAAATAATAAATCATATATCAAAATGTACAGGGAAACTTCTTAGCTGATGTATTAGTGGAAACTTCTTTTTTCAACAAATAGAGTCGAGAATGAGATTTTTTATAATTTTCCAATTGAGTTGTAGCTCTCATAAGGTTCACACCATGGGTACAAAAATGCAAATTCCCATACGAAATTCACAAAAACATTTTGCTAAACTGAATACTAGGCAGTAACATGCGTGGAATCATCTCCTTGCATTATTAATATATCTTTGCAGAAACCATCCTTGTACAATGAACTGGAAAATTATTTTTCTAAAAGATTTTTAGTGTTTTTTTTTATCTTTTAGGTATGCCAATACATCTAATGCCTGTACTAGAAATTGATGGAAAAATCATACACCAGAGTTTAGCCATGGCTAGATATGTTGCTAAGCAGGTTGGTTTGACAGGTGATAATGACTTGGAGGCCTGCGAAATCGATATGAAAGTTGATACACTTAACGATTATAGATTGAGTAAGTATATATCCTATCTATTCCAAATTTTCATTACTTATTGAGTTATAATAATTCAAATAATTTTATTTGAACGAGAAGTGGCCCGTAAGAGTCTCAACTGAAATGGAATTCACTGTATGTACGTATTTAATTTTTTAGAAATCCTCGAAGGTTCTTCTGAAGCTGATCCAGTTAGGAAAGCAAGGCTTAAAGAAAAACTTGACAAAGAAACTCTACCATTTTTATTGGGAAAACTGGATACTTGGGTTAAAGAAAGTAATGGTTATTTTGCAAATAATAAGGTGAAAAGTGTATACTATCATTAAATGTTAGTGCGTAACCTTCATTATTGTTTCAGTTATCATGGGCTGACTTATACTTTTTCGCCATCTCTGGATTTCTTGATGTTTATCATGGCAGGGAACTACTTCCTGGTTACCCCAATTTACAAGCCTTAAGGGAAACCGTTTCGAAAATTCCAGCAATTAAGGCTTGGGTAGAAAAACGCCCTCCAGATAATTACACGCCTTACGCCTGGTGATTTATGTTACTTTTATTATTTTAAGTGGTTCTTACAAATTTGTTTTTCTTTTTTGTTCAAGTAATTAAAGGTTCTTTTCTTAGTCTAATATAAATTGAATTATCCTCTACCTTGACACCTATTTAACGCACAATATATTTCTTATTGGTTTGACAATGAAAGTTTTTTCCAATATAAAAAAAATATTATATAAAATGATCTATTAAATGAAATAATTTATAACAATATTATTTATGTAAAACCGCATTATATTCACTACTCTGTTTTTAGAAAAACGAATATTAATTTATTCCATGACCAATAATTAAAATTTTATTGCCAGTACAGAATAGCTTGTTGATAATTGAATTATGGAACCTATTAGTTATGGATTTCTATATTCAAATTATTTTTTATCGATGAATCGTGCAAATAGGTACCAGTAATATAAAAAAATTTATTCACTAGCATAGGTAGGTACCTATCTAATGCATGATTGAAAAATAAGAAATAATTCACATCATAATAAGGTTCATTTGATTTCAATAGATATGTATGGTTTATTTTTTTCCAAGATAGATTTTGGCATTGTCAACTTTGAAACATAAACAATGCCGCTAATGCCGCTTATTGGTCGCTATTGTAAAACCGATGTCAAGCTGCAGAAACACCTCATTTTGCGACCAGTCAGGGTCAAGCGTTATTGTTTATGTTTCAAAGTTTTCAATGTCAAAATCTATCTTGGAAAAAAATAAAGTGTAGATATTAATTCCCTACTCATTAACTTTTGGGAAGAAATATAAAATTTCCCTTGTTTTAAGAACTCTCTTTTATTCTTAAATAAACTAATTAATATATGAGGAAAGTTTTTAATTGAGTTACTCTACAACATCCAATTACCACTTAATATAAAATATCAAAAGATCGCCAATTACTACTTTGACTAAGTATGCCCAATTTATTTCCAGCTTTAAATTTCTCATTAATTTATTAATAACACTATTAGTGCACAAAAAGACATAATATACAAACAGTTTTTCCTAAAATAATTTGAATTACAAAACGTAAAGCGTGTCAAAAACTGTGAAAAAAATCATGACATAAACATTATGTAGATGAAAGGATAAGTCAATAATCTCAAATGCCTTACGTAAAGTACATGTGTAAGTTGCAGTAAAAGTGGAAAGTTATTTTAACAATCTTGAATAATGAAAACAAAATGTGAGTAAAAACATTTCAAATTAGTTATTCTTTAAGGCGATAAAAAATTAATTGTTAACATTCTATTAATTAGATGACTCTGTACCCAATCTCGATTTATCAATAATTATTATGTGCATAGCTAATTATGTATGAAGCCGGTTATTTATGTTGCAAAATATTTCATTTCATTATATGAAAAATATAAATGATGACTTTTACAAAGAAAAATTTATTCCAATATACACAGAGATTTTTTGGGTTTTTGTATATAAAACTCATGTAAGTATAAGTCAGTTCTAAATGGAATCGTTAGTTAAGTAGATTGTAGATTGTGATGGTTGGGGTGTTTAGGTTATGGACCTCTCCGCACTGCGACGTGATTAGATTTATTGTGCTTCTTCTTATATCTAGTGGGTTCGCAGATTAAGGCTTCTGCAAAAGCCTATAATGTTCATAGGACTAACTTCTACATCCACAAATAACCTCCAGCAAACAGATCTTTAGTGATGGATGAACTCTGAAAAGGGAACAAAACTGATTTTTTTGTTGACCAGTATTACTGCAGAATTGTGGTTCAAATCTTTATGCTATGGACAACGACCACAGAAATATTACCGTACGAAACGAGGAATTTGAAGGCTTTGTAATCAATATGATGAAGCAGCCTCTACAAAATGGCAATGCTCAATGCAATAATTTGAATGCCCAACATCCGAATCAGATCCTGGTACAGCCACAGCAGAATCAAGGGCATTTAATTAATGTGGTTAACATGCTTGTTCAGCAGAATGCATGTTACAATTGCAACAACAGGCTCAGGCTCAGCAGAACGTTGCAGCAGATAATAACAGTAGTACCTACCTAATCCACGGAATACAATATCCAACTTTAACATTATGCCTAACTTTGACTTATCTAAAACTATTGATGAGTTTAATGGAGAACAGGATTCAAATCAAGCAAAAATGTGGCTCCAACAAATTGAAGGTACTGCACTCCTTCATAACTGGCCAGGAGTTTTTATTTTCCAAACTGCTAAAAGTAATTTAGATGGTGCTGCGAAGTACTGGTTTAGGGGCCGGAGTAAGGAAATTACTGAGTGGCAGAGCTTCAAAACTTTCTTCAGAAAAACATTTATTTTTACAATTAATAAGACAGATTTATGGAACATAATGCAGGATCGTGTCCAAGCCAATGGGGAGAATGTGTGCATTTATTTTCACTCAAATGTAGCCTTATGCAAAAATTTAAAGATGTGTTTTGACGAAATCAAAAAACAAGTAGCTATCGGATTGTGGTCAAGAGTACCCAGTAATTTTATTATGTCCAAAGCACATACTGATGAAGACTCTTTATTTCAACATATTGTGAGCTATGAGAGAATTGTTAGTGCTCGTAAAACTCGTGTTTCTGATAAACGTTTTGATAAAACGTGAACAAAAAGAACTAATTATGTTGATAAACCGGAAAAAACACGCCGTGTCGCATACAAATCCAGTCGTCGAATGGGCCCAAGGTCGCATTTAAACCAACATGCTTCAATTGTAATTAATGAGCCGGGTCATACTTCTCAATGCTGTAACAAGCCAATTCGTCCGAAAAGTTCATGTTATGTCTGCGGTCAAATGGGGCATCAGAAAAAGGATTGTTCTATGATTTTTTTCTGGACAAACATCGGTATACGGAAAACTTAAGACTGAACATCCATCTACCTCATTATTAGTGGAACCAAAGACTACAAAAGGTAGTGCTGTTTCAGTCATAACCTTTGGAACTGTAAAAATGTATGATTTTGAATTTTCAAATGTTTCTCCAAATCGGACTTTTGAAGGCAAAGTTAGAAATATTAGGTTCTATTTTTTTTTTCACTTCAAAAATTTCAGAAATTGTTATTGAAATACCTATTTATGTAGTACCAGATATTTCAATTCCTTACAACTGTCTTCTAGGTGAAGATTTTATGATGAACGATCAAATCGAAATTTCGTTCATAGGTGACGAAGTCAAAATTATGCCAACGGATATTTGTGCGAAAGTAAATTATCTTGCCCCGACGACATCTTGAACATTTATGTAGATAAAAATGACCTCACCTTGATATTAACCCTTCTTCATGTCCTTTAGATCGCAAAAAACTTAGTGATTTGTTTCTATCTAATTATATTGAACCAATTGGAGTTGAACCGAAAACCAAATTTGAAATGAAAATTGTCGTTGACCCAAATTATGTCCCATTCTTTAATAAACCACGTAGGCTATCTTATGCAGAAAAAATCGCACTGCAATAAATAGTTTTGGATCTTTTCAGTATTAATCAATTACAAGACTTGAAAATTAGAGAAATTAAATCACATGGACTTCAAAAAGGCAGCAAATTCTCGCAGTGTCCACTACTGAATCTCATTATATGGCACTGTCATTGGCTTGTAGACAAAGCATGTGGATGAAACAGTTGATTTTTGATCTGACAAACAATAATTCTGAACCACTGTTGTTGTGTGATAACCAAGCTGCAATTAATTTTGGAACAAACTAAATATTACATCAACGAAGTAAACATATCGACGTTCATTATCACTACATCCGAGAAAGAATTATGGAAAATGACATCGAGGTGCAATATATAGCTATCACACTGAAAAAAAAAGGTACACAAATATAACGAAAAAGTGCATTGAGCCAGTGAATCTCGTCATTAATATTGAGCCGGTGAACGAATTTGTTAATATTATGAAAAGCTGTTCGTTAAATAGATGAAAAAAAGGTTCATTGATTTAACGGTTGAATTCATTGTCGCAGAGTAAAGATCCTATCATTTTGACGTATAGAATTCGTTGCCTGAGTGAAATAACTTCTTCAATATAATGTACAAATAACATTGGTTTAAGGAATCGAATTTTCAACTTAATGTATGCGGTTTCATTGGCTTAACGTATGAATGCATTATCCTAGGCTCAGTTGCATGAACAAGAATATTCATATTATGGGTTCTCTGATCTCTCGCTCTTTCCTCCGATTCCTCTTTTCGGTCTCGTGTCTGCGTCGCTGTTCTTCAAAAGTTTGTGGTCCATCGTGGACTACTCGACTCCGCAAGGGCCGATTATTTGTCCTGGATTGTTGCTGATATCGATGTGGCACTTTGCCAAAATTTCCTTTAGAACATCTTTGTAGCGTTTTTGTTGACCTCCTTGATTCCGTTTTCCATCTTTCAGTTGACTGAGAATATGTTGGGAAGACGTGTTTCGGGCATGCGAACGAGGTGACCTATCAAGCGAAGTTAGTGCTTGATGATAAGGGCTTCCAAGTTAGTTGGGTTGGCCTCCTCTAAAACACTAATGTTCGTTCGTCGATCTGGCCATTTAATCCGTAGGATCCTTCTTAGGCATCGCTGGTGGTATTTTTCTAGGCTTTTTATGTGTTTTCTGTAGGTGGTCCATGTTTCGCAGTTATTTATGTAAGTGTTGGTATCACAACTGTATTGTAGACACGAAGTTTGATCTCAGCGCTGATGTGATTGTTGCAAACTCTGTCTAGAAGTCGCCCAAACGCCGCGCTAGCACACTTCAGGCAATGTTGGATTTCAGCGTCAATGGTTGCCTGCGCTGACAGATGGCTTCCGGGTATAGTGTCCCACGTTCTGCAATGTTTTCCGTACACTATAAATGAAGAAATTATTCCACTCAATAAATACCTGAATTCCAAATTTCTTCCAAAAAGAGTTGAATTTAACACCAACACAAATTATAATTTCCGGATAATGTACGATATACTGTCGATAATATGGAGTTTGGGTGTGTTTAATGAATTCTATACGTTAGCATGACGAATAGGTCTATATTAAAACTATTAAATTCATTAAATTGATGAGTAAAGTTTGTTAGTTATAAACGTTCATTAAATCACTAACACATTCGTCAAGCTGATGAAACATATTCATTAATTAATGAACTCTTGGTCATTGATTCAATGCATGACTTCATTGACACAATGAAGAAAGTTTCATAAGCATGATGAACAAACTTTTTGTGATAAGAAATAATCATTAATACAATGAATGTGGTTTATGAATGATTATTCATAAAATCAAGGAATAGAATCACTAATCTTCAAAGAAAGTTCCTTATACTGATGAAAGTGTTCGTTCGAACAATGAAAAATTAAAATTCACGGGTTTTATGATAATAATGAACATAAATTCGTCACATTAAGGAACGAAGTCATTAGGCTATGAACACTGATTAATTGGATTGATGAAATATTTCATTCAATTAATGAAAAAGAAATAACAACCGCTATTCGTCAATATTATGAACGATTTTTTTTTTCAGTGCAAAGAAAATATATTTTGACAAAACCACTACCAAAGGAAGTTTTTAATTCATTTGGTCCAAGAAAAATCAAAATCAAAATTATCTGAATTATATAATGGCTTAGTTTATAGAAAATATAATGGCTTACTATTATTCTATGTACCTGAAACTATGGAATCAAATGTAATACGTACTTACCATGACAGTGGCGCAGCCAGGGGAGGGGCCAGGGGGCCCGGGCCCCCGCAAGGCTTCGGAGAAAAATAGAAAAATAATGAAGTAAACAAAAGCTGTAAACTACTCATTTGCTCATATCATAAAAAGCAGGGGTTGTAAACCAAAAATACGTTTTAGGTTTATTGTGTAAAAAAAAATCTAAGAACAACATCGAAATCCTCTCCTCTCTACTGGATTTCTATCAAAAGATATCATATCAGTCTTTAGAGTTTGCAACAAAACGTAGACGTGACGTCACAATCGCTTGAAGCCCTACAGATTCTGCTTTTGTGTAGTTTGGTTCAAAACCAAAACTTATGTTTGACCTATTTGAGTATATCCGTATTTAAGTGAAAGTCGCAGGATTTTATTAGTCTGAGCATTAAGGGTTTGAGTACTCTAAGTCTACGGTATTAGAGCGGTTGTGACGTCAGGATTCCACGGTTGTTTTGCGAATATCTTGAAAACTGTCAGGCATAAAATGGCGCGGGTTGAAATATTATTCTCAGAATTTTTTATATAGAAATTTTGATTTTTCGTTCAAACGATAGTGAGTCTGTGTATATTCCTATAATTTTTTCCGCATGGCCCCCCAGACCAAATGTCTGGCTGCGCCACTGTACTATGATGAGTTGGGACATGTAGATACCAACAATAATTGTCTTCAAGCAATCATTCTAGAAAATTTTTGGTTCACTGAAATGCGAAAGAAAGTTAAAATTTATATCTCAAATGGTCTCAAATGTTTAGCTTATTCTCCAGATAAGTGGTTGTAATGAATAGAACTTCCGAATTATACCAAAATATTGGCTTTATATTAGACAAAGACATTGGACAAAGAACTTGACATAACAAACAAAAGAAAGAAAGATTTGAAGTAGATACGTCGACCAGCTCTGCTAGTCTGGAATGGACTCATTAAAAGAAGACATTCGAAAATTTTCTTGTTGCCAACAACCCTAAAACTGAAGATCTCAGAGATGAAATTAAACTACAACTTCTGGTAAATCATATAGCTCCTAATGTGTATGCATTGGTGAGTGAATGTTCAAACATATGCTTCCGCTATAGCCATACTAGAGAAAGCCCTCATCAAACCTAAAAATGAGGTCTATGCTAGATATATTTTAGCGACCCTTCAACAACTAGCTTCCGAATCTATAAACCAATATCTACAATCCTTAAACCTTTCAGCTACTGAACGTAATTTTCAATCATAAGAATGGCTACATCAGAGATGTTTTTATAAAAGGCCTGAACAACTCCTCTATACGCACTCGATTGCTTGAATATACAAACCTTAGTCTCAATGAGGCTCATAATTAAGCTCAAATATTTAGAAATATTTAGTTGAAATTCACTTACAAAGCTTCGTACAAAATTCTATCAATGCAACTTCAATTGATTATACTTCTAACTTCTCACTCAGATCATTCGAAGCAAATCTTAGCTACTTCTACCGAGAATCTAGCGAAATGTTGGTTTTGTAGAGGATCACGTCATCCTAGATATCTTTGTCCAGCTTCAGATGCTACTTGTCAGAAATGTTCCAAGAAAGGACATTTCGCCAGAGTTTGTAACAGTAAAAAGCATGACTCTAGGACAACGTCAGCTTCCATCGTTACTGCAATTATCGAGACTGCAGCGTCGACACCAGGACTTGGAAAAGCTACAATTGATGCAAAAATTTGTTGACAACCAGTTAAAGCTCTTATTGACAGAAGAAGTAGGTACATCAAGTTTCATAAACGCTTCTCTTCTTGAGCAACTTAAGATTCCACAAATTCCTGCTCAGCAACGAGTGAATATGGCGTCAATATCATTGGTCTCTCAAGTTGAAGGAAGTTGTATTGCGTCACTAGAAACAAATACCCGTACATATGAAAACTTGACATTACTCGTTATGAAAAATCTTTGCTCAGATATTATATCGGGACACGATTTTCGACATCATCATTCTAAACTTGAGATATCATTCAATGGAAATCTGGATACTTTGAAAGTATGCGTTTTGATGCAAACAGATATTACTCCTACTCCTGCATCTCCATTCACGAATCTCAAATAGAGAGTTTTGGATGTATTGGCAAATTCGAACGGTTAACCATAACGAATACGAAAACAAAGTCGCTATTTGACAGATCGTAATAGTTATTTATGTATCAAGGGAATTATGAGGGTGGGGAGGACACCAATTGCCCGTGGGTATTAACACCTGATAATTTCCGTGGTACATAGATAATTTTATTTCCTACTGAATTTACTGTATTTTGTTCATTTTTATAAAGAAATAAACCATAAACCAAAATTTCTATTTTTTGTCAAAGTTTCACCTATTCAAGGTAAAACCGGGAGTTATGGAAATCTTTAACTCCCTTGGGAGTTATGATATCCTTAACTCCCTTGGGAGTTAAGACCCTGTTTATGATTATCGTAACCAAGGTTTTATATGGTTATAATAGTTTAGTAAGAAATAAAAATAGTTTTCGTTCAATCCGCTTAACGTTAACGTTAAGTCGAACCTGACAAACATAACCTTACTTTAATGGTTTGTGTTTATCATTGTGTTTATATACGTTTTGTACTTTGTTTTAATTTCCTAGTACCCAAATATCCAAAATTCATTAATTTTCCCTGTGGACTTTACAAAATTGGCTACTATACAAAAGCCTATTTAGATACATCGTCATATGGGTTGGCCAATATTTCTTCTAATAAAATAATAAATAATATTGTCCTCATCCGTGAAATGATTTCTCGATTTTTTGAGGGAATTTGGTATTGAATCTATTTCGAAACCCAAAAACATTTAAAAACAAAAACAAACCACAACAAAAACATAGGAAATACGCATGCTTTTCGTTTTCGCTATGGTTTTGTCTTCCGTCCGTAAGCTCGCGGCACTTATCGGTAACGATAACGACAAATGACAGCTCAAATGTCAAATAGCGGCTATCGGAATCGCTTTTAAAAGACAACGAAAACTCTCCAATAACACTTGCAGACCTATAGCTATTAAATCAAAGAAAGAATTACTAGAAAACCTGAAATGTATCGAAAAAGAAGTCCGGATAATGCTTTCTGAAGGTATCATTGAAAAGAGTAATTCGCCTTGGAGAGCTCAAGCTTCAGTCACTTCCAGTACAAATCATAAGAGACGAATGGTAATCAACTATGGCCAGACTATAAACAAATTCACTGTACTAGACGCATATCCACTTTCAAACATAGAAGACATAATTTCAAAAGTGTCAAGGTACCAAGTTTTCAGCATGTATAGATCTAAAGAGTGCACATCACCAAATTCCAATTCTCGAACATGAAAAACCTTATATAGCGTTTGAGGCGTGCGGCGAACTATATCAATTCACGAGAATTCCTTTTGGTGTTACCAATGGAGTTGCTATTTTTCAAAGAGTTGTTGACAGTATAATCAAGAAAGAAAATCTTGAAGGCATATATATCTTGATGATATCACAGTCGGTGGTACGACTCAAGAAGAACATAACAAAAATCTTCAAAAATTCTTCAAAGTTGCTGAAAAGTATAAACTTACTATAAACTCTAACTAAATGAAAGTACGGACTAGAAAAATAAATCTCCTAGGATATGAAATTGAAAATTAACAAACCAAACCTGATCCTGATTGACTTCATCCATTCTTAGAATTGCCTCCACCAGGAGATTATTCTTCATTAAAACGAGTATTGGGAATGTTTTCCCATTATGCGAAATGGATTCCAAGATTTTCGGATAAAATCACACCACTCGTACAAACACAATCATTTTCTATGTCACAAGAAGCTCTATCGACTTTCGAAGCTCTGAAAGAAGATATTTCAAATGCTGTTGTCACTGCCATTGATGAAAATCTCACATTCACAGTAGAAACAGACGCATCAGACCATATGCCATTGGAAGTTGCTTGTCACAAAATGGAGCTCCTATAGCATTTTTCTCAAGAACACTGTCGGAAAGCGAGAAAAGTCATTCGTCAGTCAAAAAGGAAGCCTTATATGCTATAGTTGAATCGCTTCGAAAATTAAGACATTATTTAATCGGACGACCTTTTCGACTAATAACAGATCAACGCTCTGTTTCTTTTATGTTTGATGATAATCATGCAAGAAAAATAAAAAATGATAAAATACAGCGATAGGGTTGGATTTGGCCTGTTACAAATATGACATTGTATATAGATCAGGAAGAGAAAACATAGTGGCTTATGCTTTATCGAGGGTTTGTGCCGTTATAAATACTAAAGAGGAACAACAGAAACTGTTAAATCTGCACTACAGTCTATGTAATCCAGGTGTCACGAGAATGAATAATTGGGTTCGTGGCAAAAATCTACTGTATTCAGTTGAGGATATTGGGAAAATGATTGCCAACTCTTGAGTCTGTTTACAAATAAAGCCTCGATTTTTCAAAAATAAAGGAACATTAATAAAAGCAGCAGTTCCATTTGAAAGATTATCCATGGATTTTAAAGGACCATTACCAAGTTCGACAAACAATAAATTTATACTCACTATAATCGATGAATACTGCCGATTTCCTTTTGTTTTTCCCTGCCCTGATGTTTCAGCAGCTTCAGTTGAGAAGTACTTGACAAGTACTTTTCAACTATTTGGAATGCCAAATTTTATACACTCAGATCGTGGATCTGCTTTCATGTCTTCAGAATTGAAGAACTTTTTGCAAGAGCGAGGAATAGCTACCAGTAGAACTACCAGTTACAATCCAGAAGGAAATGGGCAAATAGAGAGAGAGAATGGTACGATTTCGAGAAAAGTTCAATTAGTGCTGAAATCGCAAAACTTGAATGTGTCCAGATGGGAATCTGTTCTGGATGAATCATTACATTGCATCAGATCTCTCCTCTGCACAGCAACGAATGTCACTCCATATGAAATTTATGCTTCATCGTAATAGAAAATCTACTACGGGTGACTCATTGCCATCTTGGCGGACTTCTCCGGGAAAAAATTTGATGAAGAAGCATATTCGCACAAGCAAATATGACCCTTTAGTTGAGGAAGTTGAGCTGATAGAATCAAATCCGCATTATTCGTTTGTTAGACTGAAAAACAGGAAAGAAATATTTGTTTCAAACAAGCATTTATCACTGAAATCTCCATAGTAATGTAGATAATTATTCAAAAAAAAAAAAAAAAAAACTATGCATATCCACTTTTTCCCCCAAAATACTTTTCTTCTATTATAATTTCTTTATTTATTATAGTTACCTACCTAGAATTTCAAACCTTGTCAGATGTCTCCTCTTTTGTTTGATTGTTTGATTTGCGGTTGTTATTTGTTATGACTTACTTTACTTTATAAAATATTTAAGATCTTTATGATACCTTATGTTTTTATAATACCTTATGCACCTATGTTACTTTATGTCCTTAGATCTTATAAATATTTTATGTGTAACCCTATGAAACTTACATACTTGTACTATTTATGTTAGGTTTTATGTTTTAGTAGAACTTTCATTTAAAATATTTGATAAACCCGCTAAGGCCTCTTACAGTTGTTACTAAAGAGAGTTTTAGTGGACTTGTAAAATTCGTAACAGTATTTCAAATTAAAATGGCCCTTTGTATTCCTTCTGCATTGCATTTTTGACATTTTCCACATATTCGTGCATTGCATATCTGCGACATAATTAAATCATTTGATTTGTTGAAGTATTTTTTTGCAGTGCTAAATAGCCATTAAACTGCGGAATCTACTATAACTTGTATTAAATTCCACCAATAAAATTCCATCTTACATTGCTGAAAGTGAAATTGTGTCAAAAATGTAAAAAATAATCCTTCATTTGAAATTCTATAATGTTGCTATTGGGTTTTTACAAATAATCACGTTTATAACAAATCTGGGATTTCTAGATGCGTATTTTTTTTCTTCAAATTATTCAATAAAGTGGGTTTATCTTATGGAAATTATTCATTAACAACACAAATGTTCTTTCATTAAAGTAGAAGTAAGTAATAATAATCTCTTACTACCACCACTATTATTATTATCAACCAATCCAACCATCAACATACAATCAGCGGGTTCGTATATGGTTATGGTAACCCAGAGGTGTAAAATATATTCTAAACTGTGGCGGCTAAAGAGCTTTACTTTCACTACTTCTTGCAGAAGTTATTTAAGATAGGGTTAACGGGTGGTGGGCTTTTAGTGTCGCGTTTTGAGCGTGTCAATCGCTAAGACCCACCGACGACGGGCGGAGGGTGCATATTGGAGCAGCTCTATTTTTATTTTTTTCTAGTTTTTTTTTTTTAATTAACCGACGAGTGGACTATTTTTGGTGATTTTTTTTTAAAGTGTTTGTAGCTTAAAGGTAAGTACCTAACTGAAACTCATTATAAAATAGATTATTTGAAAAATTTGGATTGCAAATTATTTGATCTAAATACTTGATGTTTGTGGTATAAAATTTCTGTCACTTACCTATTCTCAGAAAATTTAATAAGTATTTTCAAATTTTCAACAAATATTTTAAATAACATATTTTTCATAAAATTATTAATTACCTTCTATTATTACTATAATTAAGTTGTGCACTTACTTATCTCAGGAATTTATGTGGTCATTATATTTTCTTTGGAAAGGCTGGTTTTTCTGATTGAAACTGTTTGAATCAAGAATTAAGAGAAACACATGAGTTCAATCCTGAACTGAAAAATCTAGAGACTCGTTGCAATACCTGAAATAAATAGAATAAGAAAAAGTTTGGAATTTGGTACAAGGATTTAATTTTCAGAATCATATTAAGTACTTTTTTTTCACATCAATTATTGTCTTTTTCTGTCGAAAGTACGCAATGCACTCATTAGCAGTTAATCTTTTGTATTGTACCTATTATGAAAATAATTATACGTTAACTTCAGATTCTCATGCAATTATTTATTTAAAAATAATATATTTGATTAAACCTAATAAGGACAGGGCACTTTTATTATTTCGGTGTTGGATGTTTTGTTTGTTATGAAATGTTATGGAACAATACTTCAGAAAACTTTGGTAATAAGTATGAATTCTCAGCTGCGTCGATTTGTTTAGTAAAGACACAATTTAATTATTTTTTTCAATTTTATTGAATGATTTGGTGTAGTATTATTGAATGTGAGCTTAGCTCTAATATAATAAGAAAGTTCACATAAAATGCCACATTAAAACTACATAGGACTGTACTGTAGTAAATGGATAACTTCACAACAATTACGATAAGATGCACATCTCAATTGATAGGAACAATGGATGTTCCAAAGTTCTCCAATAAGAACACTTTCCGTATCTATATGAACATTCTCATAGTTGATTCGTAATGTTCCATCAGTGTTGAAATTTCTTGAGTCTTCTGGATAAGGTTTATGCATCAATACTCAAGGTTTTCCATAGAGAAATCTCAGATTCGCTTATCTTCTCAATAATCATTTTCACAGTTTCATCTAAAACTGGTTTGCTCCCTACATAGATACCTACATTTTTAAATTTTCTTCTAGTCGATCTGTGAGACTAAACTTTAGGGGTAATTTTCCATAGATTTGTTGGGTCTCGTTACTTTTACATTAATATCAGGATGGCATTTTCTCATCCTTCTGGTATTGTTCCTTCTCTCAAGCTTGTAAGAGGTCTTGTTATGACATCGTGACATTGAAGAATTTTTTCAGGAAAATTTCCAGGGACTGGGTTACTGCTTGGTTGTTTTTCGGTATTATTGTTAAATTTTTGTTTTTATAACTGATTTTTCGCATTCTCTTTATTTCAATTTTGACTTTGTATTTATATTTATAACAGTTTGTTTTTTAAGTGTGTGCAAGTGTTGTATTTTTTGTGGATTTTTTTTTCATATAGACTTTGCCTACTTCTTGTTTTGTCACATTCCTCCCTTTTCTGGGAGTTTATCATCTTTGTCATGGGTTTTATTATTTTCGACTCGTTTTATTGCATTCCTTACTTCTTCTAGGTCAATGTCGGGAATTTCTTCAGAATTGACTCAAGTTTTTCGTCTTTTTTCATAGGTAATGTCGTCGTTGGTGATTTTTCCTCTTTTCGGTTTTGCATTGAATAACTCAGTTTCTTCATTATTTGTCTTGTATCTGTATGTCATTGTTTTCGTTCCTCAGTTTCATTTTTCTTTTTGGGCTTGCTTCCTTTAGATACGCTTATATATATTCTGTTTTTCTCAAATTTAAATATTCAACGTGTCTATTGGTAATTTAAAAGAAGTTTGCGGCATTAAACTAAAAAATATTTATTTCAACGCAAAAATAACACGAGAAGCGACTACACAGTAATCAAAGAGTCTGGGGAGCAGACCGACGGAGCTCCGGAGGATACTGAAAGATATTCCGCGTGTGGCTAAATTAGTTTGGTCTGTTTCGTTTAAAATACGAATATATACTTATTACGAATTACGGAGGAGCCCCGCTTGTCTGTTCCCCAGACTCTTGTCACAATAATGACTAAAGGTTGACTTATTGACTAAATTGAATTATATATATTTCTATCAAAAACATGTAAGTACCAGCAATCTGTGGTACCAGCTAAATTCACAATAATAGCAGGTAGGTGATTCTGGATTGAAACATCTCCAACAGCCCCCCTTAATCCAGCAATACCTACAAATAATGTCTATTCTAAACATACATTTTTCACATGATCATTATGTTTTGGTCCATGCAAACTTTTAGTTATCATTTTATCTGTTGGCATATAATTTAACTGAATATTATTATTCTCAACTGCATCTCTTATAAAATGATACTTGTCATTAATATGTTCAGTACGATTATGGAACGTAGCATTTACTACCAATTTCTGGGCACTTTGATTATCATTGAGAATCAAAATTGCATCTTCGAAAATCGAAACTTAATACTAGGTAATAATTCCCATATAAAACTGGATTGTGAGTTAGCATGCGTGTTAAAGTTTGACCTTCACTGTAAATGGGTATATTGGGAGGATAGAAAAAAAGATGAGGTGATGGCCCTGGGATCCTCCCTAAAAAACCACCCCTAGAAATGCATTTTTTTAGTTTTTCCCAATTTTCTCAGAAACTGTTAGTTTTTTGGGAAAATTTGATGAGTCCTAATTTGAAGAGAATAAAATTACCTATCGATTGGGGTATTAGCCTACCCAAAACACGTGACTTTGACAAGCAAGCAAAGGGTTTGTGTGCCTCTTGGCGGACATTTTAATTTAAGTTTGACACTCTGGTTTGACAGCATCTTGGATAGTCTAATAAATTGTTTATAATTAATTGATAAATATTCGAAATAGCTTGGGATAGTTATTGCAAAATGTCCATTAAATCGGACACTAGAGAAAATCGCGGTACCGTTGCCAGGATCAGAATCAGCTCTACGACGAAAGTACCTCTAAGAAATGGCCTGAATTTCTCAGGAATTCAGAGAATAAAGCTGATCTTTCCATATATCTAACGAATGAAAGTTGTTCAAAGTTAAAATTAAGACCCGAGTGTGATTTCTACATTACTCATGATTCATGAATATACTGTTAGACATGTTGGCCCAGGAACAGAGATGTTTGAAAATTGAGATCACAAAGAAGCTGATACCAAAATTATCCTACTAAAAACAGGTTTAAAAACAGTTCCCGTAAAAAGTGTAGATTCCGATATAATTGTTATCTTAATTTATGATTTAGAATATTTCCAACAGCTTAGGCACGATTGTTCAATATACATACCTTTATTATGGAACAGGAAAAAATAAAATAAAATAAAATATCTGGACGCTTTACCACCCTGTAGGGCCGAAACTCAGCCGCGGTTTGCCCTTATTTACCACGATAGCAGAATGTGATTCCACGTCATCGGTAAGAGGAAGATCAAAAAAGACCTCATTCCTTGCACTAATATCCCCAATGTGTGAGATTTTGAATAAGTCATTCACGAATATTGAAATAAATCTCCCTTGTTCAGTAAACTAGAAACCTTTTTTGTCAAGATTTACGGCGGAGAAGCAAAATGTTTGAACCAGCTTAGCTTAGAAATCCTATAGGTGTATTTTTCATTATTTTGTCCATCTTATGTAAAAAAACAATAATTTTGGATTTATTTTTTATTAAAAATAAACATATTATACATCAATGGATAGGAAATTTTATTCTCTTCAAATTAGGGTTCCTCAATTTTTTCCAAAAAACTGATAGTTTCTGAGAAAATTGGGAAAAACTAAAAAAAAAAATCACCTTTGGGGTGATTTTCAGGGAGGATCCTGGGATCTTCATCCTATCTTTTTTTTCTACCCTCTCAATATAGGTACCCATTTCCAGTGAAGGCCAAACTTTAACACGCACGGTAACTCATACTATGGGATTGATATCTACTACCTACTAAGCTCATTTAAAATATATTTAAGAAATATAGCCTTTTTTGTGGCCAATGACGAGGAAACATACTCTGCTTCAGTGCTGGATAAACTTATGCAACTTTGTTTCTTAGCCTCCCAAGAAATTGCCCCTCCAGCCAACTTGAAAACATATCCACTGTATGATTTTCCATTATTATTGTCATTTTCCCCATCTGCATCACAATATCCACAAATATTATTCATTATCTTTCTTAAAAATCAACTACCTAACAAGGGTCCCTTTTAGATAACGTAAGATCCTTTCAGCATGTTGAAAATGAGCATTTGTCTAGCAATCATTATACTGACTTAAATAATTTACTGCAAAAACTATATCAGGACGTGAATTTGCTGCAAGAAATATTAATGAACCAATCAAACATCGATGAGGTATATTTTCATCTGGTGGGTTAAGCCCTTTTTCTAATTTCAAGTTAGCTTCCATAGGAGTGATAACCTATTTTACCTCATTCATACCAAATTTGTCAAACAATTTTAGATTATAATCCTTTTGATTAATTTTAATTTCGTGTATTTTATATTTAAACCTAAGCAACTTTTGATCTGACCCAAATCCATGATTTTAAAATTTTTAGACAAAGTGCACTTTAAGTTATTGTTTTCGGTATCATTATTCAAAAAAATTAAAAATCCATCAAAATATAATGCTAATATAACTAAAGAATCTGATAATTTTTTAATGTAAACACAGCCTTCATATTGAGACTTTTTATATCCTAAACCAACCAGGATTTGTTCAACTTTCTTGTTCCACATTCTGGAACTTTGTTTTAAACTATAAATAGCTCTATTCAGTAAACCAACTTTATTTTTGCTAGTAACATATCCCTCTGATTAAGTCATAAAAATCTTTTCATTCAAGTCACTATTTGAAAAGGCCGTAGTGACATCCATGTGATCTATTTCTAGATCCAAATTTACAGACAATGCAAATAAA